TCCTATGTTTCACTCCCCAGATGGCCACAACGGCAGGAGCTGTGCCAAACCAAAGCCAGGAGCCAGGAACTTCTTCCGGGTCTCCCATGCAGGTGCAGGGGCCCAAGGACTTGGGCCATCTTCTATTGCTTTTCCAGGCCATAGAGGAGAGCTGGATTGGAAGTGGAGCAGCCAAAGACTTGAACCAGCGCCCATATGGGATGCCGGGACTGCAGGCTGCAGCTTTACCTGCTACGCCACAGCGCCAGCCCCTAGGATGCAAGGATCTTAAGAGACAGAATATTTCTGCTGCCTAATAGGTATTAAAGTTACTTTTCTTTTGACAGGCAGAGTTAGATAGTGAGAGAGAGGTAGAGAGAGAAAGGTCTTCCTCCCGTTGGTTCACCCCCCAAATGGCCGCTACAGCCGGTACACTGCGCTGATCCGAAGCCAGGAGCCAGGTGCTTCCTCCTGGTCTCCCATGAACGTGCAGGGCCAAGCACTTGGGCCATCCTCCACTGCCTTCCCGGGCCACAGCAGAGAGCTGGACTGGAACAGGAGCAACCGGGACCGAATCCGGCGCCCCAACCAGCACTGGAACCTGGGGTACCAGTGCTGGAGGCCTAAACTTACTACTGAGTAACTTAGCCTAGTGAGCCGCGGTGCCGGCCTCAAGTTACTTTTGATAACTGAATTGAAAGAATTAAATACAGCTGGAGAGTTCAATGTTTTTAAAGAAAGCTTTTATAAAGTAATACTTTTGTAATAGCAATAATAATATATATTTGCTAATTTTTATTTTCATAAAGCTATAGTAAAATGTATCTATGTAATAAATCTATATATAATAAAAGCATAGGTACATAACAAAGGCACAAATAAAGTCTACAAGCACATACAAAAAGGCCACCTTTTTCTTACCTTTTAATTCTATATTTCATGAACTTTTTTACAGATTTATTTATTTACTTGAAAGGCAGAAAAAGAGACATCTACCATCCTGCAGTTCACTCCCCAAACGCCTACAGCTGCCAGGTCTGAGCCAGGCCAAAGCAAGGAGCTAGGAATTCTATCTGGATCTCACATATCTGTGGCAGGGATCCATGAATTTGGCTCATGATCCACTGCTTTCCTAGCAACATTAGCAGGAAGGTGAATTGGAAACGGAGCAGTCAGGACTTGAACTGGCACTCTGACATGGAATACTGGCATTGTAAGCAGCAGCCTAACCTGCTGTACCACAATGCTGGTCCCATGCCTTTCCTTCTGAAGAGACTAAGGGTTAGCAGAAAAAACTAATCTACGGGAAAAAAAAGAGTGGGAAATTATTTTTAGAATAATTTATAATTTTTATAATTAATTTTATGATTTGTTTATTTGAAAGGCAGCATTACAGAAAGAGAGAGAGAGAGAGATCTTCCACCCGCTGGTTCACTCCCCACATGGCTGCAATGGCCAGAGGTGGGCCAGACGGAAGCCAGGAGCCAGGGGCCAGGAGCTTCTTTTGGTCTCCTATATGGGTGCAGGATCCCAAGGACTTGGGCCATTTCCTGCTGCTTTCCCAGGCACATTAGCAGGGAGCTGGATCAGAAGTGGAGTAGCCACAAATCAAACTGGCACCCATATGGGATAGTGGTGCTGTAGACAACGGCTACACCTGCAATGCCACAGTGCCAGATCTGCAACATCTGTATTTCTGTTCTTCCTAAAGGTTAATTAATAATAATAAACCTTTACTAGAACTTTTACATATGTTTACTGTAGAAATCATAGTTATGAAAAAGATAATTTCACATATAATCTCAATGCCTAAAAGTAACAAATTTTACTATAGTGTATACATCTTAGCTAACACAAGACTATAGTCTTTGTGGGAAAGGGTTACGGCATAAATGGGTTAAACTACTGCTTGGGACATAAGCATCCCATATTGTAATGCTAGGGTTAAAGCCCTGTTTCCACCTTAGCTCCAGCTTCCTACTAATGCACACCCTGGGAGGCAGATGACCATTCAAGTACTTGAGTCCCTGTCACTCAAATGGAAGACCTGGATGTCATTCCTGGCTCCTGGCTTTAGCCTGGCCCAGCCTGGCTGTTGCGCATTTGGTGAGCCAATAGGCAGATGAAAGATAACTTTCTCTCTACTTCTGTTTAGTTCTCTCTGCTGTTCAAATAAATAAAAACAACATTGTTTTAAAAATCTATATAAAAAATGCAATAGTTTGCACTCATGCATAATCAAACTTGCATTTTTCTCCTAACAAAGTATATCTTTGCTGGTCAATACACATTTGTACCAAATACACATTTGTATTGTCGGATCCTACAAATTGATGTGTTGTAATTTCTTTATGAAACTCATTGTATGAGTTATTCCTAATATGTATGCATTTTAAGCAGTGTTGCTGTGGATTCGTTTCTGGGAGGAGCAGCATGGTGTGGGCAAGAGGTGCAGTACAAAGAAAAACAAATTGTATGTATCTCTATTTTCTAAAAATATTTTAATAGAAATGCAGAGATGTACATTTTTAAATGTGGTACAGTAGTTTCCAACATATTATCTATTGAGAAGTCATAACCGAGTTTAACTCTACCTAGCAGTGCACATACTACTGCTTTTCATCTACACAAACTGTGTTAATTAGAAAAGAGTATTTCATCCCTCTTTTAATTTTTTTCTGTCTTACCAGGAACACTTTTTTTTATGCCCATAAGTCACTTGTAGATCTTCAAAATAATACTTTGGGGGCCAGTGCTGTGGCATAGTGGGTAGTGCCAGCATTCCATATGGGCACCGGTTCAGGTCCCAACTGTTCCACCTCCAATCCAGCTCTCTGCTGTGGCCTGGGAAAGCAGTGCAAGATGGCCTAAGTCCTTGGGTCCCTGCACCTGCATGGGAGACCTGGAAGAAGCTCCTGGCTCCTGGCTTTGGATTGGTGCAGCTCCAGCCATTGAGGCCATCTGGGGAGTGAACCAGCAAATGGAAGACTTCTCTTTCTCTCTCTGCCTCTGTGCCTCTCTGTAACTCTGACTTTTAAATAAATAAATAAATATTAAAAAAATATATATACTTGGCTCAATTTCAAATCAGTTTTTTTTCTTGCTTATTTCAAGTAATTCTCTAAGTTGAAAATATATTTTTCATCTAAATTATGTTATACATATATTTGGAAATATATTGTCTTTTATCTTGATAATTTTTTCCTTTTATATGGGAGAGTAATTTTTTTTTAATTTTATTTATTTACTTGAAGGGCAGTTAGAGAGAGAGAGAGATTCCATCCATTGGTTCACTCCCCAAATGGCCACAATGTCCTGGGCTGTACCAGATGCAATCTAAGAACTCCATTCAGGTCTTCCACGTGGATGGCAGAGGCCCCAGCACTTGGGCCACCTTCTGCTGTCTTCCCACACATACTAGCAGGGAGCTAGATCTGAAAGGACTTCATAGGGATGCTATGGAGCCAGTCCCTTGGGGGATTTTAATTTTTATTTTGAGAAATCAACCTACAGAATACTTGCTTTCGAGGTCTTTGTTGACATGAAAATGTTCGAATTTGTGATTTGGTTTTATTCTGGTATTTTTCTTTTTTTATATTAAAATAATGAATTTTTATTCTATAAAACACTTAGGTTTTAAAAAATATTTTGAGGTAACATTTTAATTTACATTATAGCCAAAAATTTAATGGCTATACTGAAAAAACAGGTCAGCAGGTAGCATTATAACATATCAGGTAAAGGCCCCGCTTGCAACAACCCATATGGGTCCCATATGGCTGCCAGTTCCTGGCTATTCCACTTCCAATCCAGCTCCCTGCTCATGGCCTGGGAAAGCAGCTGGAGATGGCCCAAGTGCTTGGGTCCTTGGCACCTGTGTGGGAGATCTGGATGAAGCTCCTGGTTCCTGGCTTTGGTCTGGCTGTTGTGGCATTTGGGGAGTGAACCAGCAAGTAAAAGGTCTCTCTCTCTCTGTTTCTCGCTCTGACTTTGCCTTTCAGATAAAAATAAAATAAATGTTTAAAAGCCAAATAAATAGAGTTCAACAAACAAAAAGATCATAATCCAGCAGGAAACAATAATCAAATGAAAGATGTTCAACTTTACTCATCTAAAGTACATTTTAAAGTAGTCATAAAACCATAAAAATTATACAAAAAAAACCTAGCTAATTTCTCCCAGTTAACAGGGCAACAATGAGTAAATCTTTTTTCCTAATAGAAAAGTTAAGTTCTAAATTCTTACATATTTTATTGTTTCTGGGTTTTCTGCTCTCTTTGTCTTTTCAATTGTCGGTACATTATTACTTTGTGGAAATCAATAAATTTTCATATCTAGAAAAGCAAAGTTTCTTTTTTTTTTTTTTTACCAAATTACAAACGAATGCCATCACAACAGTAAAAGTGCATGTGTAACTCCAAAATTTTAATACCTAGATACTTTTATTTGGTTTTGGTAAAGCTGATAAACATAAAATACGAACATTTAGATAAAAACGAGTCTTGCTATCCAAGAACTCGGAGCCGGCTGCTCAGTGCAGTTCCCCCGGGGTCCGTGGGCCAAGCACATCGTCAGACAGCTGTGCAGCGATACCCGTGGACACTGGGCTTCTGTCAAATGGGTTTCAGCCCAGAAGTTGACATAGTACAGCATTACTCGGACTGTACACTTCTCCACAACGTATACAACAAGGGTCTTCGATGTCCACACTGAAAGCAGAGCGCTACCAACACTTAATTTTTTGGTACCATCCCTCCTCAGTTGTCCTTGGGAGCAGCGAACGCTCTGGTTCAGGGTTCGCGCCTCGAGCGGACGCTCAAGCGTGGGGCGGGCAGAGCGCGGGAAGGCGCCGGCCCCTCGCCGCCCGGCTCGCAGGACCTGGGACTCGTCCAGCTCGTCTCGGTCCTCGCACCACTTCCTGGGCACCCACGCGGCTGGACGTGGTACCCCCGCCTGACCTCCATGACCACCCGCTCACCCGACCGAGCCCAGCGAAGGCTCTGAGGGGCCGCCTCACAGACCTCTCATCTCCTCAGCTCCCCACCGCCGCCTCCGGAGCCCAGCGCGGGCGCTGTGGACGCGCCCACCCGCGTCCTCACAAAGTGGGAACAGAAAAGCTCGCACTTCCAAACTCCAGCTCAGAACAACGGTCGCGCAGCAACGCTTCTAAACACAAGCGCGCGGCGCGCCTCCGCCGGCGGACACTGCGCACGCGCACAGACGCCCGGCGGCCCGGGAGCTCAGCGCGCATGTGCGTGGTTCGGGCCTCGCGGACCTCAGCGGCTGTGTGGGAGTGGGCACCGTGTTTAAGACCTTGCGGAAGAAAAACTCGATTCTGTGGGAAAGCAGTCTTTGTACTGCACTGGGGCTAGCATAGGTGGAAGGGTATCCCCCTCTAAAATCTCAGTCTCCTTATCCCTCCGTTTTAGCTCCCTTCCCTTCACTTTGGGTCCCATCTGTCCGGTCTCCATGGGCGTTCAGCAGGGGAGTGGGTTCAGAGACCGTGTCCATATATGTCAGCAAGTGCAAACTTAGGAAGCAAAAGCATTGCAAACTTTCCAAAAGAAGTAAAAGCAGGTTTCTTTAGGCCTCCGGCTCCTCCCTTTCAGCGCAGCCTTTCTGTTGTTTGCTTTACTTTTTCTTTTTTTCTTTTTTCTTTTTGCATTTTACCCCAAATTTAATCTTTAATCAAACCACAATATATTTTGGAGCATTGTGTAACACCTAAAACTTTTTTTAAAAATAGCTGTTCACTTGTCCCAAAAACTTCAGGTTTCAGCAGTGAGGTAAAATGCCACTTTATCTTACCTTAAGTTCATAGGTATGATTTTTCTCTTGCTGTTTTTCATTCTGTCACATTGAATGGTTTGCTCTTGCCTTAGTACTCTGCTACTTCAACTTCTTTTGCTATAAATATACATCATTTTAATACCCATTATAGTTCCAAAGTTCACCACTTTATTCATCCTTTTTTAGTAGTCTCTTGGCAGTTTACCTCTACATTAGTTTTTATTTTTTTTTAATTTATTTGACAGGTTGAGTTATAGACAGAGAGAGAGACAGAGAGAAAGGTCTTCCTTCCGTTGGTTCACCCCCGAAATGGCCGCTACGGCCGGAGCTGCGCTGATCGGAAGCCAGGAGCCAGGTGCCTCTTCCCTGTCTCCCATGCAGGTGCAGGGCCCAAGCACTTGGACCATCCTCCACTGCTTTCCCAGGCCACAGCAGAGAGCTGGACTGGAAGAGGAGCAGCTAGGACTAGAATCGGCACCCATATGGGGTGCCAGTGCTGCAGGCGGAGGATTAACCAAGTGAGCCATGGGGTGGCCCCTGTACATTAGTTAAGAGGAACTTTTAGCATTATGTCAAGAATTATTAGATCTTGATTGTAATTGAGTTAGGAGAATTAATTTTAACTGGGGATCAAATCTTTTATTGTTCTCTCCAGATAAATGTTATGTCTCTCGATCTTTCTGATTGTTAAAGAATAATTGATTAATTAATTTATTTATTTGAAAGAGAGAGAATCAGAGAGAGAGGAGTTTCCATCCCTCTAGTTTATTCCCCCAAATGGCTCCAACAGTCAGGGATAGAACAGGTTGAAGCCAGGCGCCAACACCTCCATCTATGTCACCCACGTGGGTAACAAGAGCACAAGCTCAAGTAATCTGATGCTTCCTCAGGTGAATTAGCAGGAAACTGGGTCAGAACAGAACAGCCAGGGCTCAAGCTGGCACTCCCATTTGAGACGCCGGTGTTGCAAGCAGTGGCTTAACACTGGCCTTGAAATCTGATTTTTTAAAAAGACAGTTCATGTATTTATTATTTAAGAATCAAAGACAAGCAGAGAAACAGAAATAGATTTCCCATGTCCTGGTTCACTCCCCAAAGGTGAGGGCTGGGCCAAGCCAATGCTGGGAGATGAGAAGTCAGTACAAGTCTCCCACGTGGAGGGCAGGCACCCAGTTACTTGAGCCATCACATGCTGCCTCCCAGGGTGCACCGTGGCAAGCAGCTTGAATTAAGAACAAAATCAGAGCTCAAAGCTAGGCTCTCCAGTATGTGATGCAGTCATCCTTGCTGATGACTGGCCAAATGCTGGACTCTATAATACAGATTTCCCATGAGCTTTTTGTATACCCACCCTGTGCATGAATCTCAAAAATATATTGCACCAAAATGTGTAAATATTTAGTAGTTGGTAACCCTGTCACCCATGTGGGAGACCAGGATGGCATTCCCAGCTCCTGGCTTTGGCCTGGCCCAGACCTAGCTATTTTGGCCTTTTTCGGAATGAACAAATGGCTAAAAATATCCTCCCCCTCTGTTTCTGTTTGTCTGCCTCTCCATCTCTGTTGTTCTACCTTTCAAATAAGTAAAAATTTCTAACTCTTTAACAAATTAGTGAGGACTATTTCTGAACAACATTCCAGAAATAAAAAAATTAACTTTTAAGGACCTAAAAGGAGTCATAAAATTTGCTTTGCTATATATTTCTGATCTCAGGAGTACTTGCCTCAGAAAGTAGCCTGGCCACTGGGAGGTGGAAGAGAGAGGCAGGAGCATAAGCACAGATCTGTTAGGTTGTACTTGCATAATGCAATGCCTACAGTGCTAGTTGGTACAATGGCATAGGATGCAAGGAAAAGGGGAAACCAAGATTGCCTTAAATGTTTCAAAAGAGGTGTCTCATAAAAACTAATCCCAAGACTAATATTTAAAAATCAATGACATTTTAGTAGGCTGTCAGAAAAATTCGCCAAAGATTTAATATAGTTCCAAACAATAAATGAAATGGCATTTTGGCTGCAATAATCATTATTGTTGTGAAATTCCTATTTACACGTTTCATTTACAAAAGTATAAGCAGGGGCAGGCATTGTGCTGTAGCATTTGGAACTCAGACATTCCATACAGGGGTGGCAGCTTGAGAACTGCGTATGATCCAGCCCTCTGCTATTGCACCTGGCAAACAGTGGATTTAGGAACACTTTAGAATTCCAAAGTGAAACAAAGATCCAGGTCTCCAAGATCTTGTGGACATTACTCTTGGCTGATTTCTACATACGGAAGCATACCCAGCAGGTGGACAAGCTGCTTCTGCTTGTTCAAATCAGGTAAACAGAACAACACTGAATATTAACAGAAACCCCATAATGAAAAGTAACCTTTTGCTGCTTGTTTCATATAGACTAATTTTTAAGTTTTCTCATAAAAAGAGACTCAAGCAAGCATTTTCTGATCTCAGTCACCTAAAAAATTAAGCCATTTCTTTCAAATACGTTATTGGTAAAGAATACTTTGAAATGAAGAAAAAAAAGTTTTCTTCCAGGATCTGCATATTTTACTTAGCTTGATACAATTTCTCATTGTTTTATTTCTCAAATTTAGAAAGAAATTCTGCCATCTGGGTAGTATTTTTTTCAGATACTAAGCAACACCAGCAGGATTCATCCATAGGATTTCTTGCCACAGACAGGAAAGTCTGCTAACATTTACAAAATATCTTGTGCTCTTCTTTCCAGCATAGAAGATGACTGAAAATTATCAGTTATGATTAGTTTTTAGTACAAACAAGAATATAAATTTTTATTCTTTTTAGCCAACATTGTAATTAATCACATTAAACTTCACTTCTAGGTTTCAAATTAAAACAATTGAACACCACTACGAATGAATAAAAGGTACTCAACTAGAAACAAATCCCACATTCCAATGTTAGTTTTAACCTGCGAGGTATAAGCTGCTGCCAGTATTCATATGTGTAAATGGAGATGGCTGAAATTAGAGGCTCTTCCCATAAGAAAAGAATTTTAGGCATGAGACCAGAGTAGTGATAAGCAAGATAGTAAGATGTAAACAAGTAGTACATCCATCAGAATGGATGGCACCTCTTCAAGAATACCCAGTCATTCAGACTGGCTAAGCAAGATAGTAAAGTTTAATGAAGAGAACATACTTGCCAGGCCGGTTAAGAACCTCAGTAAAGATCTGAGAGCCCCATTTGCGTTCAGACTGGGGATTATAAGGGTAAAGGGTCCAGTTCATTCTGCCAATTCTCCTTTCTCCCACTCCCTTCTCCCGGACAAAGAGTTTCCTGAAGTTAAATAGGTAAAATTCCTCCCGAGGTTTTCTCATCCAGTGTTTTCTGAGAGGGCAGCCTGCTTGGCACTAGGCAAACAGGATTCTCCTGGGATGCTCTTCCTGGGGGAAAAGCCTGGGACCACCTGTGAAGCTGTGGGCTGGACTTTGTTGTGGAAAACTCTGGGCAGCTTCCAAGGCCTGCTTCCGAGAAAGCTACGTTCCTTTCTGCAGGCGCTTTGTTTTCACTGGGTCCCTTTCACACAATTTCTTTATCATCCTACCTAACGTTAGCTTTAACCCAACAGGCATAACATACTGACAGTATTTATGTGTATCTGCTTGTTTTATTAAATAACAACTGGTAAATTAAATAAAAGGGGAATTTCCAAAAATGGTACTTGGTACTGAGTTACCTTAATGCTTCTATAAATAAACAACAAGGTTAAAAATAAATAAACATACATCTAAGATGGTGAAGAGAATTCCATGAAAGAGGTGAACTCTGTGATTCTTATGGTGTAAAATGTGTAAATATTTAAAATGAACATTTTAAATCTTGTTTGCAAGTCTTTTCTGATACATAAACATGTATTTTCACACTGAGTTTCAGTTTTAAAGAAAATGTATTTGCAATTTTTTTTACATTTGTTCTGTGGCTATGTTTAGCATTTGGGAAAAAATAGCTCTTAAATAGTTTTTAAGTCTGTCAATTAACAAAGGCATTTTTAAATGTTATTTTCCACTGATAGATTTTTGGAAGTTTAGTCTCATCTAGCATGGTTGATTTTAAAAGACAAATAAATCCCTATACCATATGGTAATGAAATACTATACTTGCTTTTTATAACATATGGAAACAATTCCAGACAGACCCAAAGCAGACGAAAATCTGCCAAATCAAAGTAGAATTTATCTTATATATCTCAGAGCAAAGAAACTCTCAAAACTTACAATCAAAAGACCACCCACTCTTCTACCCCCATGCAAAATCCACCTCAAACACTTTAGTTTTGAGTTTCAGGGATGCCCACATAAGTCAGGTCATCCTCACCTCAATAATAAGTAAAAGTGCCTGGGAAAGTGTGCTTCTTATGCTGATAAAGTAGAC